TTTAGAACACTTCTGGTATGAAGATCTCTTTGAAACTTTCAGTATTTCTCAAAAAATCATTTTGACAGACTGCTATGCAAAGCGTACTTATCGGATAAAACGAGTAACTTCCTCTTTGGAAAGTGGTGGCACAGAGTTCCCCATGTCGTATGGATACGATAGTAAAACACGACGTATAGATAGCATTTGTATAGTGCAAATCCCTGCTCAACAGCAAGCTCTATGCGCTTCACAATCTATACCATTTCCCCAGCAGACCTGAGAGCTTTCTGAAACAACATCAACTTGCTGGGAAGCGGCCATTTATAGGCGCTCAAACATGAACATACTGACAAGATCTTTCGCTGTCTATGGCCGGGTACCCATTCCCACCCGGGTGAAGTGAGGAACATTCGTGTAAAGTGCCTTTCCCAAGGACACAACGTCGGGCCCTTTGCTCGAACCCCCGAAACCGCAACCTCAAGATTACGAGTCCGGTAGCCTAACCACTAGGCCATAGACACTTGCCACAATAATAAAGTAAAAATTGTTCCCGCATCCAATCCGGACATTGGGGATTGCCTTTGTTAGTGAGACAACTTCCTGGGCCTTCGGCATATTGTGGTAGGGTGGCCAGTTCCTTTCCACGCCACCTTTACTTTCCCATCTTGAATTCTGGTACCCATTTCTGCTGGATGGGCAGGAGGGGGCGGAAAAAATCAGTGTCTGAACCGAGGCTCGAACCTGTACTTTCTGCTTCGGAGACGAACGCACTAACCACTCCACCACCGCACATTCGGTGCAATGATGGGGAAAATTTTCTGTTCACGTCCCTTGACCTAGTTCTGTGCCAGGCTCAAGAAGTCTGTTGCAGTCTCTCCCCTGACTGGGTGACCAGATGGGGTATTTTATACTACTGGCTGGGTAACCAGATGGGGTATTTTGTACTACTGGCTGGGTGACCAGATGGGGTATTTATACTACTGGCAGTGTGACTGCAAAGTGTTAACCCTTTTGTTATGGGGGGGATGCTTTCCTACTGTCAGCACTGATTTTTTTCAGCTGGGCTCATTACCCAGGACGGCAGTCTCATGTGTTAATGGACTTGCGGCATAGATCTAGCTCACTCGTGACATATATCGGACCCCGGTCTTTGATCGTGTCAGTTTTCTTACACCTCCCATTCCCCCCCATTTTACCCATAATTTTGAATAACTTGCAATTCCAAATCAAAGTAAAAAAAATGAGTTTATTTTCATTTTAAAAGTTTTTTTGGTGTTTACGTTTTGTGAGATCTGTGTTTATCGATCGCTTGCAGGCCAAGCAGTAAAGTAATGCTAGCAATTTTGGTACAGATATGCGCGTCTTTTCTTCCCAAATACGGATCCACGCAGTGCTTGTGGCTAAAACCTCTTACAGAAGTTTTTTAACCAGACTTGATTAGAGTGCTGCACAAGTAATGTCAAACGAGCAACCAGGACCGGCTAAATTTGTTACTTGGGAAAGGCACTTTACACAACTCTTCTTCACTTCACCCAGGTGGAAGTAAGATAAGATACATCTTTATTGTCCAGATCCTGGCACATT